AAAGGCGATCTGGGGATGGCAGAGAATTAGGAATGCGAGCCATTATTGGTCTGGCACTCAAGAGACTTGATTTCAAAACTTTAGACGAGTATGTTAGTGTAGTTAGGGTTTAAATAAGAAAAGAAAATTGAATGATAGAGAAAGGGGTGGAGCACCCCCAGCTTCTCCCCTCGAACCCCACCTATCAGTTTCCATATAAACACAAAACAGGCGAAAAGATTATATTTTGTATTTCATTTCTAGATTGCACCCAGCTACAAGTTTACTGATTTAATAAAAAGTCAAACAAACATTGAACTGTGTGATTCTGTATGTTTGAACTTCGCAATATGTGTAAAAAAAGACTCACCAACAATGACAAATTGTGAAATCTCAAAAGTAACAGCTGCCATACATTTTTATGTATAGGTCTTTCCCAGACATCAAAGGGGAATAATCAAGGTCTTTCATATTCTGCTATTTCTAGTTCATCACAGAGATGACTGATTATTAAGTACCTTGGAGAATTCATTCACTTTTCTATTTCTGAGGGATGCTAACAGGTAGCAAGAGAAAAAAATGAATTATTTTTAGTTCCTCAAGAGTACTAGACGGCAAGCTTGTACCTGTTAAACCATCAGTTGTTAGATAGCTTTCTGAGGCAGGAAACTCTACCAAAACTACCTAAAATGTTCAGGTAATGCAGAATTATCACCATTTTTACCAATCATTCCAAATCATGCATGATGAACTGTATCTGAATGTGATGGGCTCCAGGTCATTAGAGGGAAGGATCCTCAGAAAAAACTAAAAACATTTAAATTAAAATGGAGGGGAGGCTCTGAAGAAAATCTGCAAGGGAGCAGCATGAAGAAAAACAAAATGTCAAAAAACACAGCAATTATATTCTTGTACTGAAATACTAGGAGTATTGGAAACAAAATACAAGAGATTGAAATTATAATGCTTTAGTAGACAATTATAAAGTAATTGTTATCACTGAATAACATTTACAACAGCAGTTGAAATGCAACACTCTAAAAGACAATAAAGAAGAGATGGAAGAGATGAAGGTGAAGCCCTCTACATTAAAAAGCTCATTCAAGCACAGACAATTAGCTTAGATGGACCTAAGTTCTATGTTTCAGATTTCTAAAAAATATTTTAAATGAATAGTATTTGGAGTATGATATAGACTACCTTATTCAGATATTAACAATACAGCAGGCTTACAGTATAAAGTGAAATAAAAAGTATGCACTGTATATAGGAAAATAAATGGGAGATTTTAAATTAACCTCATATAGATTGGGAAAATCAAAAGTTCTGTTAGCAGTTCAAAAATAAATGTGAGACATGACTCAGAATTATTTTCTTAGTAAAAGTCCTCCTTCCTAGACGGCAGGAAAAACCTGACCTAACAAGAAGAGGTGTGCAGTGGTGATTCACTAAGTATGAGTGTTTTACAGGTGATTTTCACATTGAAATGGCAGACAGGATTTTAACAACAAAGGGTTACTTGTTTTCAGTATTTAATGGTGTCATTTTGGGAGTTTCTGTTTTTAAAATATTCTCTAATTAAACAAATTACACAAAATGTTCAAAAGTGGACAAAATGATTATAGACCAAAACCATCTTAAAGAATTATTTAGTTGGTAAAATGCACTATATGAATATTTCACTGAGATATTTACCAAGGAAGGATAACATTTCTCAGGCTGAAGAAAAACAAAAGTCTATAGTAAATAATGTTCAAATAGAAGAAGCAGAAATGTTGGAGGTACTAGAAATAAGTAAATAAATCAAAACATCAGGGTCTGATGATTTTCTAACTATTGCACTTAAAGCAGCAAGAGACATATGCCATTAATAAAACTCATTTAACAGTTACTCAAGACAGCGATAATTACCATTGCCTGAAATGTAGCACCCATTCATAAAACCAAACAAGTGACATGACACAACTAAACCAAGGAACTATTCATCTATAAATCTTAGTCCTATTACGTGCAAGGTAATTGAAATAATGATTAGAACTGCACTACAGGATCATTTGTTTGGCAATAGGATTCTAAAACTGGCCACGTGGATTTTAAAAGGTGAGTCTTTCTGAACTTACTTGCCACAGATCTTTGATAAAGCAACAGCAATAATGGAATAAGTAAAGGTTTATTCCATGCTGAAAAGAGGAGAAAAGAAACACAACGTTTCGAAGAAAAAAACCAACACAAAATTTCGGCTTTAAGCATATTGATGGATATACTGTAAGCTTGCCCAAATTATTTGAAATATGCTTTATCTAACTAGAAAAAGAGCTTTATTAGGTGTTTACCCATATTTTGTTTAACTACATCAAAAGCACTGTTTCCAATCTATCATATTGAAAAGTTATACATCTGGATACTAGAAACAGGAATAAAATGAAGAATTAATACAGACTAAACCTGGGGAGAACACTTGAGATATCCAAGCTGTTAAAGGAGTACCATAAAGATGCAGCCATTCAAAATGCGCGGGCGATACCGCATTATTTTCCGGTACGCTGTACGCAGTCTACCGCAAGTAACCAGTAAATACCGCTAGTTACCGTAAATTCTCCTATAATACGACAAGCAAAATAATAGTATCCGGAATTTCCGCAAGGTGGAGCTAATAAAGCTCAACCTCTCATGTTTGAGCTGTGGCCATCAAAGTCTTTAACGGAGATATTACTAATAGTATTAATAATGAATGACCTTGGACAAGCTGTAAGTGTAAACTCAAAGTATTGCCCTGGTCAACATTCTTTTTTTCATTGACCGTCTTTGTAAAAGTAACACCACAGCATTTCGCAATCACTCATTTGTTTCCAATCATGCAAAGTACAGTAATTTTTGAGAATCGATTCACCATGCCTTTCACATGCTCATAAAAGAGATTGATTTAGGAACATAAACATATTACTGTATGCAAACTGTACTGTATACAGTATGTATATGTATATTTAATGTCTTAACTGTGAATGAATATATATATATATTCATGTCTAATTTTACCACTGAAGGGAAATCTTAGTAGCTGAGCATAAAAAGAATAGGAGCATACTGCAACGCGTGTGAAGGCCATAAACGATATTAATTTTGGAACATAAACATACAGTATATGGCTGGTCTCAGTACTTTAAATAAAACATTCACGAAACATGGTTTCATTATGACCAGAATCGGTCTTGAAATATTTTTAACTTGATTTACAGTATTTGAGAGGTATGTCTTAACACCGATACTACAGTGTGTAAATACTGCTCACGTATATGTTTCTAGGTTTATATTATGCATTTCATACGGTCAAATTACTTTTGAGCAACTAATAAGAAGCGCGAAACGGTATGCGTTTTAGTTTCGTTTTGTGCTGGGACTTGTGCTTTTAACAATGTCGCCGTGGATTGATTAGAGATATCAAGTACATACAAGTCATTTTTTAAATGTTGTAGTTCGTCTTGTAAAAATGTTACGAGTATATCATATATCAACAATTACACCGGCAGAGAGGGGCGTATTTGGGTACCGTTTCATAAAACTTTCATGCTTAAAATGTTTAGGGAGAAATGGAAGACTGGTGTGTATTTTTTCTTTAAACTATCAAGACCAGCCATACACAGTACAATTTATGTACATACAGTAATGTTTATGTTCCTAAATTAATATCGTTTATGACCTTCAGATGCGTTATGCTCCTCTTCTTTTTATGCTCAGCTACTAAAATTTCCCTTTAGTGGTAAAATTCCATATAAATATTCCAAACTAAGCGGATTAAAATGTGCACAGTAAAGACATTAAATTATTAAATCTTTTCACTACCAACCAATGCACCACGAGTGCCCCTGTCGGTCATTTTGGCCAGCCAATCACTTAACCGCGGTGCCCTCCGGTGCCCTGCGGGTAGGTTACTGTACCGCGGGTTTTTACCGCGCATTTTGAATGGCTGCATCTGTACAAGATAATATAACACACAACAGAATGTTGAACAGAAGCAGTGAGTTACTGAAAACAAATGGATTTAAAAAAGAAACACATATATACTGTAGTATAAGTCATTTATCCAATTTTTGAATAAACTGTATGACTTCTGTCAAATGAATCTTTTGTGATGAGCATTTGTTTTATACATGTCTGCCTGCAAACAACTGATAGAATTCCACACTACATATATTTTGTTCCACAACTCCTCAAGCATGAAATACTTTTTCAACCCATCTCCTTCTATCACAAAAATCACCATCACTGTTAGCTGCAGCTATCTATGTGCCTTGCAGATAGCTTGTGTTAATTTTCACAGTTTTGTGGACTGGATAGCTGCCATGATTGACAATGACATTTGGAGCTTTTCACCTCTGGGTCACCATTCAATTTCAGTCTTCATCAGCAGTAAATAAAAGTCATTTATCTGTCTCAATTCGTAAGTGAAAAAAGACTGTTGGTCTCGTTCAGAGAAGTTTGTACCCTCTGTCGTTACTTTCCCAAAAAACCAAATGTTGCACATAAAATGGACATTTATTGTACTGTAAATCAATATAGTGGTCACACATATATTGTGAATTATGTATCTTTGTGGTGTTACTGGTACTTTAATTGATTTGGTAAAGGTACATGAGCTAAACATGGGAATCTAGTATTTCTTTTGGGATAATAAGAAATCAGCACCAGGCAACAGTCATTGTTCTTTTCCAGTAATATTCCATGCACCAATACTCTTATTTCCTTCACTGCTGCTATTATTATTTTTTAATGTTTAGTTCAATATAAAAATATTCTAGTAGCAGGGGAAACTAAAACTGGAAAAGCAGTTAATTTAAGAATGTTTAATCCAAGAATATGCCAATATAGAAACCTACACCTGGTAAATTCACAGGACAGTAATGTATGTTGTGTTTTGCATGAGGCATATCTACTTGAAATAAAATATCTGGAGAACTGCACCGAAGACGTTAATTGTATGGCAGAAATCAGTAGGATTACTGAATATATCTTGCAACACTTACTTATATTGTGTATCCTATACAGCATTATTGATAGATATCTCTTCAAAGGTCAAACATTTATGCTCCGTCAATCTGAAAGAGAAGAAAAACGTTTTTGTAGATTGGAATGGTGAGAAAATAGAGAGTATATCATGTTCAATTGTTAACATAAAGGAATGAAAAAATCCACTATACATCTTTAATATATAAAGAAAGATGTAATAATAAGGTCACTGAATACTTTTGTGGAACTGAATCAGTCATGGACACTGTGCAGAAGTGAAATTGATTTTCCGAAGAAGTGCCAGTTCATCATGCCATGAGACACTTGCTATTGATTTTTTCTCCTTGTTTGTTTGTAATTTTGTTACCTCTGAACAGGGTGCTGACTTAGATCCCGTCACATGTTGCATGCTTACATGATGAAGAATTACTTGATCAAAGAAATAAAAAGTTCAGGTAGCCTAATGTTGAGATTATTTTCAGCTTTGATTAAATGTAACCTGCTGTGTGTGCCTTTGTAACTTAATTACATTCCAACAAGAAAAATCATAACAAGAGTTATTTTACTTCCAATGGAACAAATTAACAGACCTGTGTTGTGGTAACCACTCCACACAAGTCACACAAGTACTTTTAACATTTTTCCTGTCGATTAATTGGTAACCAGCATAATTGAATATATTTGTTCCATGATTTCCTTTACAATTAAGCCTTTGTGAGCATTGATTATTTACAGAGTTTTATTTTTCTCATTTGTAATCAACAATAACATGTCAGAAGCTGAGTGTTTCCTTTGATTATATGCATTATATTGATTATATGCATTATATTTATTTCAATACAACCTTGCTGGAAGCACTTAAAGGGCACATTAGGAGGAATTCAAGATATGAGTGAATGAGTAGCAGTTTTTAGTTTCAGTAAACGGTGCCACCTGGTCTTTTCAGATCTCAGACGTTAAACAAGGCTGGGCCTGGTAACTACTGTCTGGAGACTTCAGACCCTAATTAGATTAAAAATATTGTTATAATAATAA